AAAAAAAAAAAAAGCAACTTTGCAATAATTGATGTCTGAACAGATGCATTATTAAGGCATAGATTGGTACTACTTTCTTATATTGAAAGTCGGCTCCCGGTGGGCATAGAATGAGATTTCGGTTGGGAAAAAGAAGGGACATGAACCTGATTTGGAAATAATACATAACTCCCACTCACAAAAGGCCACACCACAGTACCACACACATTCTGAGCAACCGAGACCAAAAGCAATTCAAAATCAACATATTTTGGTAGAAGTAAATTTTTTTTATATGTAATTTTTTTTTTAACCTTTTGATTTAGATTTCAGCTTTAGTGTGCTAGCATAATGTAAGTCGATCGTACGTACTCGAATATTATGACACCCAAGTCCCAAAAAATTAGAAAGATATGAAACTTGCGGTGCAAAATAGTCTCTCAACTTCCAAAGGCGACGAGAAATGGAGGCATAATAATAAAAATTAGATACGTTGTTTTCATGATTTTCATCTGCCACCAACTAGCGAAACGACAGCTTCACGTGCAGGAAGGAGCGTTTCCCCATCTTTCTCACATGAGTTTGTCTCTTTTCTTACGTCTCACGTTTTGGGGTTTTCCGAAGGGAAGAAAGAAAGGATGGAAAATCAAATGTATCTTGGTGGGGTTGGAGATATAGAATATAGAAGGGGCTTTGGAGAATGGACAACTGAGTTAGAGGAGGCGTACCAAGTGTCCAAGTGTGGGGTGTGTGTACATCTGTTGTCGTGCAAAAGACATTAAATGATCCCAATTCGATCCCAGATATCCCACGCCTGTTCCATGCACCCGACAAATATCCCGTCCATGGCATTGGGCTCACTCTCTCCAACACTATGTTACTGCCTTTTCAAGCTATGATATTAAATATGGTAAAATGTAAAAGGTTACGAATGAAAATTGTAGTACGTGTATACTATTTTATTTTCACTGGCGCATCTTAAATGTAAAGTCAAGCCGACAATGTGAACTTTTTGACAATAAGCAAAGTAATGGTACCGTGCTTGAAACGGGTGTTTGAAAAACTCAAGACCCTTACTAACTGGGAACTTAGTAATGTCATAGTCAACACTAGCTACCACATCAATTAATTATCTAACTTAGTGACTAAAGTAGTTCTTTAGTACCTTTTTGACTAAGATTAATTATGATTTCTCTTAATAAAATTGATACTATAATGTTCAATCTGATTTGTAATATTACAAAACAAAAAAAAAAAGAAGAAAAAAGCAGTGTGTCAAAAACCTTCTTATCATATATATTAATTGTAGTTTTTCTTTTATGGATTTTTCTATTCTATGCCCCAAGGCACATTTATTATATCTTTTTATAGTTAATACATAAAATAAAATTAAAAATTGATATTAATTTTATCAATTATTTAATAAAAAAATATATATTGTAAATGTTGAAATTAATGTTAACTTTTTTTATTTTTTATATGATCAATTAATATAAAAAAATATATTAATTACATCCTTAAAGGTACAAATTAAAAAAAAAAATCCACGTAGAAAAATGTATGAGATGAAGTACTGCAAAATGACTCTTTTAAATTTCATGTGGAAACTTATAAAACCATCTCTTAATTTATTATAAAATACTTTT